ACTCAGCGGCAGTGCGGCGACGCAGTCAATCTCAGTGTGCAGTGTGCTTTGTAGTTTTCGTATGTGAAGAGGTACTTTGTTTCTCTTAGGATTTTTGCTATAATTGTAGTATTTTTTGTGTATTCCTAACTGCTGTGTTCAAGTATTTTGGGTGATATTTTTTTGATATTCTGAATTAAAATGGATGATAACAAATTCTCTGTAAGTAGTATAGTCCCAGTCATGTCAAAAATCACTGAACATAAATTAAATAACACAAATTATCTGAAGTGGAGCAAAATTATTAGGGTTTATCTATACTGTATTGATAAAGATAATCACTTGATTCAAGATCCTCCCACCGACGAAACTAGACAAGTATGACTAAGAAATGATGCACGATTGTTTTTGCGGATTAGAAACTCAATTGACAGTGAGGTAATTGGCTTAATTAATCACTATAAGTTTGTCAAAGAACTGATGGATTACTTAGAATTTCTGTACTCAGGAAAAGGCAATGTGTCCCGCATGTATGATGTTTGTAAAGCCTTCTATCGTGGTGAGAATGATGCCAAATCTCTCACAGCTTACTTTATGGAATTCAAAAAGACTTATAAGGAGTTTGATGTACTTTTGCTGTTTAGTACTAATATCAAGGTACAACAAATATAGAGAGAGCAGATGGCCATAATGAGTTTCTTGGTTGGTCTTCCACCTGAATTTGAGATTGTTAAATCTCAAATTTTATCCGGTTTCGAGATCACATCTCTTCAGGAAGTTTTCGATAGATGTTACCCACAGAAAATACTACACCTAATCAGCACCCTAATGTTCTTGTTGTCAGAGGGTGACGAAAAAATAATAGGGGAGGAAACAGAACAATGGATAGTCGGAACAATGATTCAAGAAATATTATTTGTTATTATTGTTATGAGTAGGGACATATAAAGCGACAATGTAAGAAATTACAGAATCAGAATTAGAGAACACAGACTGTTAATATTGCAACTGCTACTACAGCTAGCTTATCTTATGAGAAAACTATTATGGTTTTAGCCGATAAGTATGCAAGGTTCTTTCAATTTCAAGAATCTTTAAAAGAATACCCAACAACCACTACTTATGCTGAATCAAGTAAAAGATGTCTTATCTTCTCATCAAACAAATGAGTGATTGATTCTTGTGCTACAGATCACATGAAAGGTAACCCTAATATTTTATCTAGTTTTCGATCACACAGAGCATCCTCTCTTGTAGCTACACTATCTCTTGTAACTATTGATGATGGGTCAACCTATGATATTGAGGATTCTGGGATTATAAAACCAACTCCCTTCATTATCCTGACATTTGTTTTAAGTCTACCTAAACTTACTTTCAATTTGATTTTTGTAAGTAAACTTACCAAAGAATTTAATTGTTGTATATCATTCTTCCCTGATCATTATCTTTTTCAGGATTTTACTACAAAGCAAATTATTGGTAAATGACATGTATCAGAAGGTCTTTACATTCTTGATAGTTGGGTGTCTCGACCACTTGCCTACTCTAGTGAGATCTCTTTATTTAAAGCACATTGTTAGTTGGGACATCCATATCTCATTGCGTTAAATAAGTTGTGTTCTCAGTTTCATACTATATCTTTATTAGATTGTGAGTTATGTCAATTTACAAAACATCATCGTAACTCTCGAGCTGAGTCTGCTTTTAAAATAGTTCATTATGATATGGGGTTCATGTCTTGTTATGTTGAAAACATGATTTAAATATTTGTTTATTTTTTGGATGATTTTTCTTAAATAACTTGGATATATTTTATGAAAAGTCGTTCTGAAATGTTTACTCATTTTTGTAATTTTCATTCGAAAATCAAAACTCAATTTAATGTGTCTGTGTATGTCTTAAGAAGTGATAATACCAAAAAATATATGTTAAATTTATTTCAGAAGTATATGATTCAAAATGGGATTGCTGAAAGAAAGAACAAACATTTACTTGAGACTGCTCGAACTCTTTTATTCCAGACACAAGTTCCTAACCAATTTTGGGCAGATGCTGTATCCACTGCATGTTTCTTGATTAATTGTCTACCATCTACAGGACTTGAAGGTGATATTCCTTACAATATTCTTTTTCAAATAAATTATTATTTCCAGTACAGCCACGGGTATTTGGTACTATTTGTTATATTCGCGATGTGTGACCCAGTATTACTAAGTTGGATCCCAAAACCAATTCTGTTGATTTTGGAAGAAAAAATAATAATTTTATTTATCACATTTTTAGGTTATTACACATATGGTATTTATAAAATACCTATTCTACTAATAGAGAAATTCTTATTTTAGTAAATTTCTAATTATATTAAATTATTTAAATAAATAATAAAATAATTTAAATAATAAAATAAAAAAATATCATATTCGATACCCCCCTCAAGTTGGTGCAGGGATATCTTTCATGCCCAACTTATAGACCAAGTTGCAAACTAGAATCAGATATGTTAGGCAACAGTGGCTCGGCTCGGCCCAAAAACCGCTCGGGTTTAGCCCAAAAACGGCTAGGGTTCGGCTTAAAAACAGCTCGAAATTGGCTCAAAACTAGCTCAAAAATCAGCTTAAAATGGCTCAAACTCGGTTAAAAAATGGCTTGAACTCAACTTAAAAACAGCTCGAATTCGGCTCAAAATTCTTAAAAATGGCTTGAACTTGGCTCGGCTCAAGTCTCATCTTGATTAAGGCAAATTTGAGCAAAGTAGAGATTGCAGCCAAAAAAG